TTTGCCGTATTGGTCAGGCTGGTCTCGAACTCCTGACCTCAGGTGATCCACACACCTCAGCCTCCCAAAGCGCTAGAATTATAGGCGTGAGCCACTACATCTGGCCAAGTGCTGTGTTTCCTATTCTGTAGGAATAGGAAACAGAACGCTTCTGTGACCCCCGGATGTGTGGGGATTATTTCCCCACACACCAAGCAAGTAATTCTGCAGCAGATACCAGCTGGGTGTCCTATAATTGAGTTCAATTCTGACACTATCTACCAGAACATACTGTCAGATCTCATAGGTTGAGGACTCAGTCCCACAAAATTGTCCCTAAGTCAGATGCCAGTCACAAGCCCCAGGTTGTGATCTGTGCTTGTGATTGACCAGCTATAAATTGGCATTCCCATATCCCCTTCCTTGGGTTTGATTAATTTGCGATAGCAGTTCATAAACTCAGGGAAATGCCTACTGTACCTCTTAGGGAATGTTTTTGGAAGGGGTGGTTAGGACAAATAAGGAATGATTTGGAAGATTTTAGTGAAAAGAAATATGGATGCCTAAACATGAAATTCCTTGTTCACAACTTGCCTGCCTTGATAAAAATCTATGTTGTTCATTACTATGTCCTTAGCACCTGGCACAGAGCCTCAAGCATAGTGGAAATTAGTAAATATTTGTTGAATGACTTAATAAACATGCTATCCTACATTAGCATCTCAGTTAAAGCATTGTTATTCTTCAAAATATTTCTATGTAGTTTAAAATACATAATTATTAGGCCAGGTGCAGTGGCTCACACCTGTAATCCCAGCACTTTGGGAGGCTGAGGCAGGAGGATCACGAGGTCAGGAGTTCGAGATCGTCCTGGTTAACACAGTAAAACCCCATCTCTACTAAAGCTATAAAACATTAGCCAGGAGTGATGGCATGCGCCTGTAGCCCCAGCTACTTGGGAGGCTGAGGCAGGCGGATCACAAGGTCAGGAGTTCGAGACCGTCCTGGTTAACACAGTAAAACCCCACCTCTACTAAAAGTACAAAACATTAGCCAGGCATGATGGCATGTGCCTGTAGTCCCAGCTACTTGGGAAGGAGGATCACTTGAGGAGAATCGCTTGAACCCAGGCAGCGGAGGTTGCAGTGAGCCGAGATCGTGTCACTGCACTGCAGCCTGGGTGACAAAGCGAGACTCCATCTCAAAAAAAATTTTAAAAATACATAATTATTAAATTAACTTTGGGCTGGGTGTGGTGGCTCACACCTGTAATCCAGCATTTTGGGTGGCTGAGACAGGTGGATTACCTGAGGTCAGAAGTTTGAGACCAGCCTAAAAATACAAAAATTAGCGGGGTATGGTAACATGCACCTGTTATCCCAGCTACTAGGGAGGCTGAGACAAGAGAATCACTTGAACCTGGGAGACAGAGGCTGCAGTGGGCTGAGACTGTGCCTCTGTATTCCAATTTGGGCAACAGAGCAAGACTTGAGACTCCGTCTCAAAAAAAATGCCGGGCTTGGTGGATCATGCCTGTAATCCCAGCACTTTCTGAGGCCAAGGCAGTTGGATCACCTGAGGTCAGGAGTTCAAGACCAGCCCGGCCAACATGTCAAAACCCCGTCTCCACTAAAAATACAAAAATTAGGCGTAAGGTGCGCACCTATAATCTCACTAACTGGGAGGGTGAGGCAGGAGAATGGCTTGAACCCAGGAGGCAGAGGTTGCAGTGAGCTGAGATGGCACCACAGCACTCCAGCATGGGCAACAGAGCAAGACTCCATCAAAAATAATAATAATAAATAAAAATAAATCAATAAACTTTGAAATTTTACAAAAGATGGTTGTACTAAAATTAAATTATGATCTTTAACATACTTTTTCTTTTATTTGTACTCTAATAAGCTTTTGTTATCTGAGTAACACATGGGCATGCTTGTAAAAGTTCAAAATTTAAATAGTCTAAAAGGTTAAAGCTGCATAAATAAATATATCACAGTTTTTAATTGTCATAATTGCATATACTTTTATATTTCCATATTCTCACTTATTTTGTAAATACTTTTCCATCTTTCTAATAGTCACTAATTTAAATGACTGCAAAAATTCCAATCATGTTTTGTCATATCTAATTTAGCTATTCCCCTACAATTGTACATTTTTCCTTTTTTTTTTTTTTGAGATGGAGTTTTTTGCTCTTTTTGCCCAGGCTGGAATGTGGTGGCATGATATTGGCTCACTGAAACCTCCACCTCCTGCGTGCAAGTGATCCTAGCCTCAGCCTCCCGAGTAGCTGGGATTACAGGCATGTGCCACCAAGGCCAGGTAATTTTGTATTTTTAGTAGAGACGGGGTTTCTCCATGTTGGTCAGACTGGTCTCAAACACCCAACCTCAGGTGATTCACCCACCTCAGCCTCCCGAAGTGCTAGAATTACAGGCATGAGCCACTTCGCCCGGCTTTTTCCATTTTTTTTTTTTTTTAACATTTTTTAAAGTGTGTAGTATTGCTTAAACAGAATACATACA